ATAGCTTTTAATGGGGCCATTTAAAAGGTGTTTTGTGACTACGCACAGGCACACAGTCAACTATTCTGCCTTGATCAAGGCTCCTGTCAAATACCTGCATCTTGCTGCCACCTGATTTTCTACTTAGCTTCTCCAGCAGATCTCATAAATTATCATCTATTTAGTGACATGGTGTGCAATAATATTTGCTCTCCTGATGCCACTTTGAGTAGACGTCATTAGTCATCTGCTCCTGCCTTCACTGTCCACATTTATAATCCCTAAGGCATGTACTTTTTCAGCACAGAAGGAGGTATTTGTTGCAAGCTTGGCCTCCATCAGGGTCATCCCTAACTCATACAGCACCTTAAAATGAAACAGCTGAAGTACATCTGTCTCAAGGTACTTGACTGTGTGACCTTCCCAAAAATGTTCATAACATATACAGAAATCTGTCGTTTCTACCAGGTGCAAGATGCTCCTCTTGTGCTGTGCACCACCTGTACAGCTATCCATTGCAGCCTTATCAACCACTAGCTGGCCACAGACTTCAGTAAATGTGGGTATTTACCACACTCAGGACCACAATTCAGACCAGACCTTAGGTTTCCAATAGCTCATGGAATTCTTTCTCACTCCCTGAATACTGACGGTGAGCAACTTGTCCCAGTTTGTCCAGGATGACCCCAGTTTTAAAACAAAAGTTCTAGATCCTGGGAACCCCTCTGATCTGAGGCAAGCCATGTGGCTATTGCAGGGAGGCCCCATCATCTTTGGTCTTGTGACAATAAGCTGGATGTTTCTGATAAAAAGGAGGGAAAAAAGTAAATTCTAAGAGTGGGAAGCCAAAGGGGCTCAAAGGCATATTCTTGGAAAAGAGTGGAATGGAAAAGTTTCTGAACACCTACTATGTGCCAGACATTGTGTTAGGTGCCTCTATGAATTACCTCAGGTAATTGCTAATCAACACAAACTTCTGTACTTTTTTTCATTTTTTAATTTACATGTTGCAAACTTAATGTTTCTGGGGGGGAGGGTATAGAGTTCTATTAGTTTTAACAAATATGTAGAATCATGTAAACACCAACGTGATCAGGATACTAAGAGTTCCATCAGCAGAAAATTCCTTGTGCTGCCCCTGTGTAGCCAAATCCTTCTCCCACCCCTCACCTGAAGGAGATATTATTGATGTAAAATTCAGGAAAGTTCACTGAGACTTGCAGTGGTAGAATCATGTGCAGTAAAAATATACAAACACTCTGGTCTGTCTGCCTTTTGCAAAACCCTGCCTTTTCCCTGATTAAAATGCAGTCAGTGGGCAAGAGGTATTTCTTGACAAGATAAATGAATGAAAAAAATGACACCTCCTTGGTGGAGACCCTCTGGAATCTTCCCTGTGCCTGGAGAGTGCAGTGGTGGGAAGGGGTGCAGAGAAATCCCGGTGGGCTGGACTGCTGATGGACGAAGCAGGCCCTCCACTGTGCCCTGAAGCATCAGCCAGGAACTGCCTGATCAGCATTCCCTGGGCCCAGTTTGCTGCACCCCAGGGCATAGCATATCCAGCTATGTCCAGGGGTACAAAGGGAGTGAGTGGTGCGCCATAGCTGACACAATCTATTGAGGACAGTGGGTCAATGGGTAAGCAAAGTAGATCAGGACACACTCTACCTTGCACTGGAGGTGAGCTGCTCTTGGAAGCTTTGTGTTCTGATGTCTCACTGTTTTGTGCATAACTTAAAGAGGCTTAGGTACAAAAAAGAGTGTCCAAAGAAGAATGCAAGCTTCAGAAAGGACCCTCATATCTCCATAGGGCACAACCCACAGGTAGGACATGGAACCAGCCAGGCAGACATCAGGGACAATTCTGATTGTCTAAGGGAGGAGACTGAGGTAGGTTGCAGTGTATGGACAGACTCAGCCCAGTAGGTAGAAGCAGCCTGTGATTTGTAGCCATGTGGTCTGAGCCCCCATTGGCCCTGGGGGACCTCAGCTCTGTGGCTGGGAGGGAAGGTAGATGGGAGGGTGGCTATGGGTTACAACTACAGGGACCGTTAGTCTGGGGCAGGCACCAGATGATAATTTTATCCTAAAGTCTAGGAAGCCTGTCAAAAAGGAGTTCCAGGGTAGCCTCAGCTTATGTTGGCATTTTGTGTAATTGTTTATGTTCCACAAAGCTCTTAGCCACTTATCACAATGCTGGTACTAGCTCAGCCTCCCCACCTTAAAAAATGACCAAAGCATCCCCATTGACTCAGAATAAAATTCCCATTCTTGGCTGTGGTCCACAAGCCCTCCATAGCACCAGCCCCACCCCATCCACATAATTCTCTCAGCGCCACAGAGTCCCCCTTCAAGTTCTAGAGCACATCAAGCTCATTGCATTCAGGGCTGTGCACTCGCCGTTCCCTCAGCCTGGAACATTCTTCTCCCAGCTCTTACCATGGCTGCCTTATGCTCATCACTGAGTTTTCAGCTCAGATGTGTCCACAAGAGACCAGCAGCAACACACAGGCTGAACAAGCAGGTGTAGGAACTGCGGGGCGTCTCAGGAAGGGGCTGTTAGAAGGGACTCTTAAGATGTGGGCTGTTTTAGGTGATTTGGGGCTCTGCCCTGGATTGGACACTATTCTTAGGTCCAGGTGGCAAGATGGGGCACCCTAATGGATCTTAACTTTAAGAGGGTGGCACGAGATGAAGGCTAAAGCTGTAACTGGCAAAGAGGCAGCCATTGTCACTCATATTACCCAGGGTAGGGGGAGGTCTGGTCATATATTTTTTTGGCTTGGACAATGTTCCTATCTTTGTGTGTGTGTAGCTATGACTACAGGGTGGTCGTGTTTGTGCTGTGCCCCATCCTGATCTCAGGGTAGCCTCACCTGGTGTTGGCATTTTGTGTAATTGTTTATGTTCAACAGGAAAGCACCAAGGTCCCACAGTGAGTGCCAGCCAGCTCCTGAAAGTCAGGGGTCAATTTATCCTTCTTCGGTGTCACCTTTTCTAAGAGTCCCACCCAATCTACCCTTCCAAAGCAGTCTGTGTCCCTTGTCACTATCTATCACAGCACCCTGTTGTAGCACTGGTTGTAAACAATAATTATCTTATCTGTTTATTGCCTGCACCTTCTCACAACTAGGACATAAAGTTCATGTGGTCTTGTCTGCCATGTCTGTTGCTATTTTTAGGAGCTGCTCGTGGCCAAGCCCCCAGATGGTCACTGGGGAAGGCAGAAAGAGAGGGAGGGAGGGAAGGAGAGAGGGAGGGAGACAGGTTTCACTTAATATGTATTCTTGGGCAAGTCATTTCCTGTTTCTGGATCTCACTTTGCTGATCTGTAAAGTGCGGCAATCATTTTTCAAAAGATCCTTCCAGATCTGACTTCTGAGGATTCTGTGACTATCACAGCTCAGACCTCCAGGGACGAGGACATCCCCAGATGCATCTTTTAGGACTAAAAAAAAAAATGATTGCCTTAGAAAAGCCACACTACTCAAGAGTAGGAAGCATTTCCACACTCAGAGAAGAGTGTAAAAATAGAGCTCAACACTCCGAGGAGAAGAGGCTGAGAAAAGGAAAGCGAAGATTGATAATGGAGGAATATAATGAGGTGGCAATTTTGGTTTCAAAAGAATGTGATTAGCTCCTAATGACTGCCACCATTCCCTGGTCAATCTACTGTAACTAGCCACTAATGTAAAAATAATGCCCCTCGGCTGGCTCGCTTTGAAGATGAAGATGAGTCTCCCTTTCCTACTTTTACCCCTTCATAGTTTTTTCCTTCAGGAGATTATCCCTTATTAGATTGCAGCTCCCTAAGAAGGGAAATGGATGTGTGATCAAAGTCTACCAATTAGGGGTCATTATCACGCGCTCCTGGACAGCTCTGTAAGGCCGGCTTCCTCTGCCTTTGTCAGCATGGGCGCAGCCCCCAGGCTCTTACCTTCTCCTTCGGCCTCCACTAGGGGGCACAGAGGGCCCAGGGCCATGGCAGGGCCCACATGGTTTTCCGCAGAGAAGTGCCACTCATCACAATGGCTTTGTTTAAGATTTTTCTAAGGATACCTGCATTATGGGTACACCCTGAAGGGCATGGTCTGGATATGGACAGGACTCCCACGGTGTGCCACGTAAGGACTCTGGGGATGAGCAGAGAGCTTCCCCGCATCTCTGCAGTGTCTGAGTACAGAGGGTGCTTATTCTGTGGGGCCCCAAGGAGCAGGACAAAGGACATGGAGGCAGAGAAACAAAACGCTGTTCAGTGGCTCAGTCCAAAAGTGAGTCAGGAAGCTGTATGGGGTGTGACCTCTCTGTGACAGAGGGTATCCAGGTAGCAGATGCTAGGAAGCATCTTATCAGCTTCCTGGAAGGCCACTGGGGAAGGTTCTCAAGGTCACTTCCACCTCAGATTCCAGGATCTTTGCCTTCTGTGTGCACAGAAGCTGCCTTGCCCACTGATTTTTTTCATCCGTCTGTACATTCATTCATTTATTCAAAAGAGGTGATACAAGCACATTTGAGGAACAAAGCCAGTATTGGGTTCTGGAGACACAGACATGAATGAGATGCCACCTTTCCCTGGAAGCCCATCACCAAGCTGGAAGACAAGACATTGAAATTATTAGATATAGAGAAGTCCATCCACTATTAGAAGAAGTGACGGAGCATCTGGGGATGCAGTGGGGTGCTGAGAGGATGAGTGGGGAAGATTTCACAAAAGAGAAGATGCTTCAACTGGGTTTTGAAGAATATATAGGAGTTTACTGGGCAGACCTGGGTGGAAGAAAATTTCAGGCAGAGGGATCAGTACGTCTAAAGTCAGTCTCAGAAGTTTGAAGCACCTGAAATGGTCTGAATTGTCAACTAAATTGCATTTAGTTCCTTATCTGTGGAATATTAATATAAGGGCAAGAAAGGAGGCTGGAGGGGCATGTGGAGTGAAGTCATTCAGAATCATGTATTAAAGACTTTGGAATTTATCCAAAGACAATGGCAAGGGGAGTAACTGGGTCCTATTCACATTTTAGAAAGATCTCTCTGATTACAGTGGAGAATGGATTGAAGGGGACAAAACGAAAGCAAGAGAAACCAGTGAGGAGACTCATGGGAAAGTATTTCTCCAGGTAAATTCACTATTTGCAAGAATCATGGCTGCACGTGAAAATCACCCAGGGAGCTTTAAACGCTCCTGACTCTTGTCACCTATCCCCAGAGAATCTGATTTAATTGGTCTGGGGGTAAGGCAGGCCTTTGGGAGTTTTCAAGCTGCCCCCAGGTGGTTCTAATGTGCAGCCATAATGAAACCTTAAGTTGATTATAGCCCCAACCCTGGCACGTAGTAGGTACTCAACATATTATTTTCCTAACAATTATAATGAAAAACTATGCAGAGTGTCCTATTCTTGGCTTCACATCACTTTTTGAGCAGATATAATTGAATAAACAGTTGGCTTTATCACAGAAGGTTTCGGGTAGAAAATCCACCCCCAGAATGTCAGCTTAAGCATTAGGGGTCCAGTGCTACCATGGAAATGGCACACCTTTGCAGAGAGCCAGGAATATATAGCCTGGCAGGTTGCCTGAAACAACAAGTGCTACCTGGTTGGGAAGGTGAGGCCAGGACTGGAATCTCAGTTCTAGGAGTTACAGACAAAAGCAAGAACCATTTACAGTCTAGAGATGGCCTAGCTTGGTGGCAAGACAGATGTAGGGTGATAGTCACTTACAATGAGGATCAAGAAGAGGAAGAAGAAAAGGAGTGAAAGGAGAAACAAGCCCCCCATTTGTAAAAGAAGTGCCTTCCTGTCCCCATGATGCTTTGTCACACTCAGGTTTAAGGCAGAGATTGGTGCCTAGAGCCTGGCACCTGCTTTTCTTCTCCTGCAGGTTGCCTGTCTCAGGGTTTCTGACACACAAAGAACAAGATTCCAGTCAGTTAATAGCTGGGAAGGCACTCTCATATCCTAGTCTAAACACGGGGGAAAACTAGGTTGAAGACCATGGCTTAGCCCCAGAAGTCCCAGCCAGGACCTCCCACCCCATCTCCATTCAATTTGAATGGCTAAGCAGCAGAATGGGCACCAAATCTACCTACCAAACCACTGCACAGCAGAGGACCATGGTCATGCTTCTAGAACAAACATCGGCAAACTACAGCCACAGTCTAAATTCAACCCAATACCTGTTTTCATAAAGTTTTATTGACAGTTAGCCATGCCCATTTCTTTATATTTTGTCTATAACTGTTTTCATTCTACAACAGTAGAATTGGGTATAAGTGGTTACAACAGAGACTCGATGGCCTACAAAACCCTGCCTGCTATCTGGCCCATTACAGAAAATGTTTGCCAACTTCTGCTCTAGAAAAAGACCCACACATATTGGCTTAACACATGGGAGATGGGAACCAAGCAAGAGGGAGTCATGAGTGGGTTGGGTTTTTAATAGACAGTGGTCCTGCCTGTCTATGAAACATAGCCTGCTGAATGGCTGAATTTCTAACCAATCAGATTACAGACTTCTCCTTGCTTAGGATGGACCTTATAGGGAATAGATGGGCAAAGGCAAGCTACTCATTAAGATGAGTAGAAGCTCCTTTCCTCTGCATTGCTGATGGGAGCTGTGTAGACTCAGATGCTGTACAAGAGCCATGAGTAGGGCATTCAGCCTGTTCTACCAGAAGCGGGATAGGAACATAATCAAAGCAGAGCCTGACCCTCACACTCCTGCAACTTTACTAAAGCTGTTTCTGTTCTTGTCAATGCCCATCTTCCTTCTCTGGGAGAAAACTGCACCCTGCTCTGTGTTTCCATAACACTTGGCTCATAACTCTGTTAAATCATTCCACGTGGTTGTTTACTTGTCTGTCACCTCTTAAACTGAAGACTCCCATCTCTCGTCTCTCCCAAACTCTGATTCTGAACCTGTGTGTCCAACTTCCTACTCAACATCTCAGCTTGGATGTCGCACAGTCATCTCAAATGTGGCTGCTGCTGCTGTTCTGACAGTTTTAAGTTTTAAACATGTTAAGGAGCCCACAATACTCAGCAAGTGCTAGATACTGTTCTAGCACTTCATGTACCCCAAACAGAGCACTTCCTGCCCATCTTCCCAATTCTGTTTCTCCCCTTTTTCTCCTCCATCTCAGTAAATGGCATGACTCTCCACTCAGTTCTGAAAGCCTGGGAGTCGGCCTTCATCCCTCTTTCCTTCATAGTCCCCATCTACAGTGGACACGTTGGTTCTGCCCACGCCCTCTCTGCTCTCGTTGTTCCTGTGCGTGCTCACCCGGTATCCGCCGCCTGTGGCTTTTTGCCTGAGGACTTCCTTAACACAGAATGTGCACACCTTGCCTACAGAGCATAGCAGAAGTGCCAAGGTATTTCCTAAGACTTGTCCTCAACCAATGGCAGATGGGAATTGTGGACAAATAACCCCCAACTCCCTCTCTGTCTGGTGGGACACCTCTGAGGCAGAAACGGGCCCACTGAAGCCCAGGTGTACACAGTTAGAACCTGCTCTCTGGCGTACCTTTACTGACTTCCTTCCCTTGACTCTCTCACTTTCCCTACTCACCCACCCATGCTCCTTAGGATTGCGTCCCAAATAAAACCTCCTATTTGAATTCTTGTTTCTGAATCTGCTTCTGGGGCAACCCAAATCTACAATATCCAAATGAACATCCAAAAATAATTACTTCTCACTGTATCCACTGCTGCCACCCTGGTGCCGGGGTCCTGGGTACCATTGTCTCTAACCAGGACTACTACAACAGCTTCCTTCCTAACTGACCTCCCTGGGCCTGCTGGAGCCTGTATGCCATATGTGAGCCAGAAAGTACTTTGTAAAATATAAATCAGATCAGCTGACCGCCCTGCTTAAAACCCTCTGATGGCTTGTTTCCCATCACGCTTAGAAAAATACCCAGTTTGTTACCAGTGACCACGCCTTCTATAACCTGAGCTTGCCCAGCTTCTCCAGATGCACCCATCCCTCCTCTCCCCTGACTTATCCTTGAATGTGGTATTTGGTTACCACCTTTGCATTGGTTCCCTCTCCCTGGAAAGTATATCCTACATTCCTTGGACTGACTGGCTTTTCTACATCAATAAGGAATTCATTTAATGGCTCCCTTCTCAGAGAAGCCCTCCTGTACTGTGTAATCTGAAATAGTTCGCATCCTTCATCACTATCCCTGTACCCTGATTCATTTCCTTCACAGCATTTTTCTACTATCTAAAATGACATGTGTTTGCTTGATCATTTGCTGCATCTTCCAGTTGATTGGAAGTTCAAAGGGGACTTGGTGTATGGCTCTGTATCCCGAGTACCTAGAATAGTGCCAAACACTTATTAGGGATTCAAGAAATATCTGTCAAATGAATGAATGAATGAACAAATGACTCCCCTACTGGACCAGATGTCTGCTTATGACACACAGACATCGGTACTTTGACTCAATGAATGAGCAATTAAGTCCATAGTGGGCCTAGTCTATGTTCTCCCCAGGCCCCGTCTAAGAACACACAGCCTTTATACTGAGTGCCCCATCCCAGTGGGTCTCATTTCCCCCACTGGCTTATCTACATCTAGATAAAGTCCCCCTCTCAGGCCATCCTAACCAGCATTCTTCCTTTTTAGGCCTTACCAGAGGGGCAGACTGCTTCGTGGGACACAGCCAAAGAGGATGAAAACCGCAATAAGAATCGATACGGGAACATCATCTCCTGTAGGTACCCTTCTGGAAGGGCTCCAGGCTTCAGGGGGAAGGAAAGGGAGCTGTCACTGTCACCTGATCCCTGATGGGTCTAGCTGTGGACCCACATGCCAAGCTGGGAGCTCCCTTTCAGCCTCCCTGTCACACCTGGCCTGAATGACGGAGCCTGGGTGATCTCAGGAGCAGGCAGGGAGCCAGTGGGGGCAGGCAGGGTAGATCCAGGAGGCCTCTGAAGGCTGGGTCTTGCCTGGCATCACCTGTCAAGAACCCCTCAGGTTGGAGAGGAAACCCAGCCAAAGGGATACTTCAGTGTTTCCAGCAGTCCCTCCAAAGCAGAGTACCACCTTTGCAGTGACTTGGGGTAGGAAGCAAGGTCCAGCCCCGAGGGAGGGGCTGAGGATGCCTGGACAAGAGAAAAATGCTACTCCAAGAAGGTAAAGCCCTGAGCAAGGACTGATGCTCAGAAGGAGTCAGAAACTCTAGCCCGAAACCTGAGGGTTCGGGGAGCCAGCAGCTCAGGGCTCAAAGAAACCCAAGGGGGCTCTGGTCAAAAGGTGGGGGGTTTAGGGCATCACGACTTCAGCCACAGCCCACTGCTGGTGGGGAGATGCTGTCAGGTGAATACCTGCCACTCCGGGCCTGCACTGACACAGGCATTTGGTGGCATGAACCTGCAGGAAGAAGCAGGAGAGGATGGAAGGATGCTGCCTTTTGCTCAACAATGGGCTTTAGCATTCTTGTAGGTACATAGCATGTGATTTGATGACGGCAGGGTTGCAGAGTACTTAGATCCCTCTGGAGTCAGACTGCAGGGGCTTCTAGGCCAGCTGTGGGGTCCTTGGGCAGGTACCTGACCTCTCTAAGCTTCCATTCCCTCACCTTTAAAATGATGAACATAACATAGAGTCATTGGAAAGGGTACATAAAACCCTTGACACAGTACCTGGCCCCATTACTACTTTAGCTATAGAGTTCTCAGAGTCACTGATGAGCATTGTGAATGTATCATTCTACCTATTTTAAGCAGAATTCACTGAATACCCATGTGGGAACATAGAATAAGCCAGGCTAGGGAAAGGGGCACGATCAAATGTCCATTTTGGAAAGATTTCTAGGGTAGCTGATTGAGAGGGTGGATTAGATCAGGAGATGCTGGAGGCAGAATGACCAGTCAGGAGTCTACTGCAATGGTCCCAACAAGGATGAACAAAGGCAATAACAATACTTGTGTGCGACTGCAGTATGGCATTCTAGGGGGAGAGGGAGAGAGAAATTGCCATAAAACTGAATACCATGCAGAGGTCACACATGACTATTGTCACTGCCAAATATTGTTATGTACCGCCTTCAAAGCAACATGATACAGAGAGGATAAAGTTACCCCTTACAAAATGCTGAGCACATGTTCTGATTTGAACAGGAGTCCATATCAGCCTTTGCCTATCACAGTGTAGCCAACCTGGACCTTTTGACATCTCAGCAATCCAGTGCATAGCATTTCTTGACCTCAGCTCTCTGGGTAGCCCAGTTCAGCTACAAACAAATAAAAAATAAAAAGACCCTGAATAACAAATTATTTCCAGCACAGTTCAATACTTTGTTTTGCTTTGTTTTGTTTAACTGTCTAGACATTGCCTAAGAAAAAGCTTGGAGGAAGAAAGTGAAGATTCAGGCAGCTTGTAAAGGAAGAAAGAGGCAGAAGTTAAAGCTTAGCTATTTCCTGTGCTGATTTAGGAATGGGCTATGAATGGTAGAAGTAATCAGAAAGCATTTATAATTTGTCTCTTGGAAGATAGTAATGCAGACAGCAACAATTCTTATAAGTGGAGTGTTGGAAATAGATGTTCAAACAATCAGGAAATGTGTATTAAGACCTATGACGTGTGGGCCTCATCTGAACCAGGCCCTGTGCTGGATCCTGGGACGCTCTGTCTCTGCTCCCAGGGAGGTCCCATTCTGGGCACAGGTAGCTGCTCACTCAGACCATTCTCTGCTCAAGCACCATGTGTACTGTGCCCTAAAATATCTGGCCACTTGTCCATTCCCCCTAGTAGACTGTGAGTTCAGATAGGGTCCACTAAATCATAGGCTATGAAACTTGAGATGATCATGCTAAACCTTATTCTTCTCTCTGCAAAACGGGTATAGCAGTGTCTTCCTCCTGGGGTGTTGTGCAGGTAAGAAAAGAAAATCATTAAAGCACAGTGGACCTTACCTCTCTGAGAGGCAAGGCTATCCACACTGGAACAGGTATCAAGGCCAAAGCCTGTGGGGCCAAGTGTGAGAAGCCAAGCCAAGCTGTGGATCGTTCCAGACTTCCCATTGCTCACCCTTTGTGAAAGGAAAAGGAGTGACACACAGCAGCAATTCACCGGAGAAATCCGCTTTATTAGGGAAAGGTGCTGGGTTATATAGGAAGGGGCATGGGGTGATTGTGGTGTTACTTCTATGGGGCTGTTGGCTGTTGGCTAGGTGCTGGGATTGGGAGGGGGGCGAGAGGTGATTGGGCTTCAGGTGGCGCCGGCGGGAACCAAGGACCCCGAAGAGAAGCTGGAAGTTCACCATCTTACTGGTGGGGGCCCTTCACTTTGCACTAAGCACCTTTGCCCAAGACACCCTCAGATCGTACCTGGACTCTGCCCAGACTTCATGCTGGTTGTTCCATGTTGGATTTAATCCCACCTTGATGCCTGTCTGATCTCTCACAGAAGCCAGAGGGACCTCCTCAAAACATAGCTTGACTGTGGCATTTTCCCACTGAAAACTCCTCAGATGACTTCCCCTCACCCTTAAGCATTCCTTGTCCAAAGGCCTGCAGCTGCCATCCCATTTCCTTTCACACCAGCGTCCCTTCCATCATGGTCTCCTCAGTTAAGCTGCACTGACCTTCATTCAGTCCCTTGACCTTTCCACACCTAGTGAGATCCGGGACTCTTGCACTTTCAGTCCTCTATCTCAAGTGCCCTTCCTGCCTCTCTTTGCTCCACGGAGTTTTACTTGCTCTTCAGATCTCAGCTCAGTCATCACTCCCTTGGGGAATTCTTCTGACCCTTGGAATGCGGTCAGACCCCCACTCTTCCCTCCTGGAGTTTGGTGCACAGCTTCTTATCATTGTGCTTTGAGATGCCTCGGCGACTGACTGTTAGCTGCCTGTCTTCCTCACTAGCACAGATGCTCTGGGACAGCAGGACCATGACTGTCTTGCACTTCGTGTCCCCAACTGTGGCATTTGATTGGTGCTCAGCAAATAGGAACTGAATGTTGGAAAGCAGACTCCCTGCAAGACCCCAAAGGACTTGAGCCATGGGTGTCTCCCTTCTGGTTTCCCAAATTAGGGAGAGACCACCCAGGAAGCCTAGATCAAGGCAACACTTGCAACAATGATATTCCAGTAGGGAAGAAGGTACTGAACTTGAATGAGGAGAGCAGAGAAATGGGACCCAAGAAGGGGAGAGGGGGAGAGGAGGAGAAAATCCTCTCTGTTCTGAGAGCTGCATCTGAGAAGGCAGGATTCCAGGCAGGAGAATCAATGAAAGGGGTTAGAACGCCATCACGGGGGACGCAGAAGATATGTCAGGGTCCCACCCAGCTTCACCACGTCACTGTGCAGTAACACCAGCTGGTGGTACCAGCATCCAAGGCCAGGACGAGGGTGAGGCAGGCAAGACACCCAGCCTACAACATTCAGGGAGTGTCCTACCCTCCCCTGCCAGCTATCGACCCTGCAGCTGCCCAACCCTGAAAGCAGGTGCCTCACTTACATCATCCTTGTCCTTCCCCGTCTGCACCTCTTTGCTTGGGGACTATCTCCAAAGCCAGGGCAAGATGCACAAAGCAGTCTATCCCGGGACCAGGAAGTTGCCCATCTTCCCCTCCACTGAGTGTGTGTTCTGCTCTCCTCCAGTTTCCTTGGGGGACACACTGCTGTTTTCCCTTTAGGAGCTGCCCTCCCGACCCCCTTTCCTACTGGTGCCCACTTCTCTTGTTTGGCCTACCTGCCCTGGGATCCTCATCTTACATATACTTACATATACTGGGAAACCGAGGCAGAGGGAATTCAAACACCTCATGGAACCCCCTTGATGGGCTTCAGTAAGCCTGAATCTCATTTTTAATCTAAGGGTCAGTAATTCTACAACCCGGGGTGGCCGGCGCTAGTCTGCAGTCAGTCCTGAAAGGAGACAGTACCGAGGTAACCAGTGGGTTCAAAAGTGGGGCAGGCCATGCAGGGGAACCGAGAGAAGAAAAGTCCTGAAATTGAAATGACAACAGTGAAGGGGAAACAGCCCCGAGGATTGAAAAGTGTTCCTGCCCTTGTATGTGTCCCTCCCTAAGGCAAAGTCTGCGGTGGCCTGATAAATAGAAATATTCTTGGCACAAGAAGCAAGCCGGGTGTGATTAGCATCTTAAGGAACCGGGAGTACTGGGAGGCTGGAGCGCAGGACAAAGGCCCGGGCCAGCGAGAGCAGAAAAGATTAAAGGGGGAAAGTTGAGGGGGAGGGCGCTGCCTGCAAATGAAACAATGAGAGAGAAACCTTGGCTAAATAAGCCCTTTCTTCCAAATGAGTCTGCTTAGAATTTAATAACAGAGACAGTGGGGTTTCCAGGGAGTAGAAATGGAAAGGAAGTGAAGGGGAAGGAAATGGGTGAGGAAACGGAACAAAGAATTCTTTGCTTTCAAGGAGCTCTGGGCAGGGACTGTGGGCAGCGGAAGTTTCCAGAATACGGAAGCCCTCCCACGAGCGGGGTCTCAAGGCGACTGCCCAGATTGGCAGGAGGAAAGTAGGCTGAGGAGAGGAAGCGGTCTCAGGGGCTGCAAACTCTGTACAATGAGGCTTCCCTTCTGAGGTCCACGGGGGTCCCAGCAGGAAACAGATGGGACCTTCAAAATGGGGGTGATTTGAGGAGAGTTGAATCAAGTGATTTTTTTTAATAAAGGTATGAGCTCTATGTGGGAGGCTACAAGGAATAATGCAAATGCCACCCCCAGGCCCAGAGGATGCGGCAGGGAG